TCTCTCTCTCTCTCTCTCTCTATATATATATATATATATATATATATATATATATATATATATATATACTCTCTCTCTTAGTATATAAGTGATGTAGGACGCTTAATCTGAGTTGGAGTCTATTTAGATTAGGAAATATAGATTAGAAAATAAATTTAATTTTAGATTCAGATTAGATTAGAAAACAAAATCAAATTTGATTCATGATTTATTTCCTCTATTATAAGGAGTCTTTTTAGGATAGAATTTGACATTTTTTGTAATATTAGTCTTACTAGGAGTCTTATTTGATACTTTCTATTTTTATAATTCTAGTCTTACTCTAGGAGTCTTATTTGATACTTTCTATTTTTATAATTCTAGTCTTACTAGGAGTCTTATTTATTTTTCTATTTAAGAAGAGTCATGTAACCCCAAAGGAGAATAACTTTTTATCAATAAAATTTCTCTTTTTTAATATTTTATTCGTGGATTCGAAGTTCTTCATGGATTCGAAGATCATTCTTTGTGGATTCAGAGAACACCCTTGGTGGATTCCGATGTTATCACTTCCACGCTGCGTCAATTGGTATCAGAGCCTTGTTCCTCCGATCTAATAACAGGTGATGAAGCCCCTTACTCTCGAACTGAGTTTGACGTGCCGAAGGCCGATTTTAATCAGATGAAGACTATTTTTGAGCGACTTGCGTCGATAGAAGACGTTGATGGTCGCCAACGACGTGATCCGACTCCATATGATAAATTCAACAGGGACAATGATCTTAAGCAAGACATTAGAGTTGAGAAGAGTAGTAAAGAAGCAATAAAGAAAGAAGAACCATCTCCGGAGCAAAATATCTTTCGCACGAGATACACCGTGATGCAGAAGATTTGTAATGTTATAATTGATCATCACAGCAGTAAGAATCTTGTCTCTCGGCATATGGTGGTGAAGTTAGGACTGAAGATAGAGAAACTCCCACCTCTCTACATGATCGACTGGATTAGCATGGATAATGTTGTGCAGAACGATGAGAAGTGTCGGGTACGTTTTTCCATTAGCCAAACTTATTTTGATGATGTGTTGACATTGTTGTGCAATGTGGTCGAGATGGATACTTGTCATATGCTTTTAGGTAGGCCATGGCAATTCAATAATGGAGCTACCCATAGGAGCAGAGACAATGTTTATATCTTCAAGAAAGGTGAACGACGAATTGTGCTCAAGCCTCTTACAGAAAAGGAGCCACCTAAGATAAAGACTACTGAGAATAAGGAACTCTTGGTGACAAACAATGATGCTTTAGCAGAAAACTTGAAGCAATCTGAAGAAGTTTGTGACTTGATTGTAACTGAAAAAGAAGAATCTGCCTCTACCGAAATTCCTCCTAAGGAGCAAACACTTGATATGCATGAGATTCATGATGGTGATATGATAGTGAAGATGGATGATACACATGATATTCTTAAAACTTGATATGCATGAGATTCATGATGGTGATATGATAGTGAAGATGGATGATACACATGATATTCTTAAAATGGTTGAGAGTGATATTGCACATATTGATGTTATCCCGATAGAGGAGAAGGATAAAATAGAGAGTGATGCAATTGATGGTATGTGTGAATTGTTTGGTGGAGGGCTAGAGACAAAGGAGGTGAAAGATTTGTGTATGGAGTATGACGCGAGTTTCTCTTCTCTGGAAGCAAAGATTGTTAATAATTTCAAGGTGATGATACTTTCAACACTAGAATATGAGAAGCAACATGGAACATATTTTGAGGAGCTTTTCAAGTCAATTGCAGATCCACATGCTGTCAGACACATAACCATGGTGTGTGAAAGATTTATTCAAGAATTTGAGTCAGAATAAGTCCTAGCTGAAGAGGCAAAACAACAGATGAAGAAAATCAATGCTCAGTACAAGGCAGATGTTGATCGTTGTAAGAGAAGAAAATTATCTATCAATGAAGCTACTATTCTAACAAATATAAGCTCGGGGTCGAGCTTCTTTCAACAATGAGAGACTGATGTAGGACGCTTAATCTGAGTTGGAGTCTATTTAGATTAAGAAATATAGATTAGAAAATAAATTCAATTTTAGAGTCAGATTAGATTAGGAAACAAAATCAATTTTGATTCATGATTTGTTTCCTCTATTATAAGGAGTTTTTTTAGGATAGAATTTGACACTTTTTTTTTAATAATAGTCTTACTAGGAGTCTTATTTGATACTTTCTATTTTTATAATTCTAGTCTTACTAGGAGTCTTATTTATTTTTTCTATTTAAGAAGAGTCATGTAACCCCAAAGGAGAATAACTTTTTATCAATAAAATTTCTCTTTTTTAATATCTTCTTCATGGATTCGAAGTTCTTCGTGGATTTGAAGATCGTTCTTTGTGGATTCAGAGAACACCCTTGGTGGATTCCGAGGTTATCACTTTCGTGCTGTGTCAATAAGTATATATAAGTATACTCTCTCTTATATATGTATAATATATATGTATATATATATTTATACTCTTATATAAATATAATTATATATGTACATATAAGTTTATGTTTATATATATATGTATAGATATATAAATATATATTTATACTCTTATATTGTTAGTCTAGCTCACGCTCCACCCCGCCCCCTTGCCTCTCTCTCTGATTCTCCCTGTTCTCTACACAACTGAACCTCCCCTCATCTCTCTAAAATTCTTTCACCTCTTTAAATCGTGCCTCCGAGCTCCTATTATTGATCTCCTCTTCTCTTCAAGATAGTAAAAGAGGGAGATGAAGAGGTTGATGAAATAGGGTAGGCTAGGTAATAGCTATTTAAGATTTGCGTTTTAATTAATTAAACTAGTCATAACAATTAAAAATGTTAATAAATAAGAATGAATAGGATGAAAATATAGGATAAAAGTATAATTAAGTAAGTTGAAAGGGGCAAAATGGGCATGCAAAAGTTTTGACAATAGTTTTCTCTTTTATATAGAAATAATATAGATAGCTTCAAACACTCCTTTTTACCTATATCAGTTCTGTTGTTTTTGACTTTTTAGGGAAGCAAATGACATAAAGTGAAATTAGTAAGACATATATATGGCACACTCCTACGATTATTCATCCGTCCATTAGATAATAATAATAATAATAATAATAATAACTTCCCCTCACTTTGCATAAATGATAATAGTTTTTTACGTTTATTTCTACCTTTTGTCATCTGAAAACACACTATCCCATGATGCAGCCACCACGGTCCTCCTCCCAGCTGTCCAATGACTATTTTTACTCGATCCAAATACACATTTCCTCCTGGCGGCTAGTGCTTTTCTCCCGTCAAATATCCTTCAGGTAAATTTGATATTTTAGTTCGACCCACAACCTGGAAAAAAAAAAAGTACTAGGCTTCGTTATCGTCAGGGCCTTCATTTCTAGATCGGAGGGCAATTATTAGGCTCTTCTTTTGTTGCTGCTGCCAAGGTGTTCTGGCGAACGACTGGTGTGCCCACGAGCTCTCCTGTAGGCTTCCTCCTCCTAGAATTATATTGCCATCTCCCCTTCTTCTTCTTCTTCAATTTAATCAATGAATTCTTCAGTCCTTCTTTGGATTTGATATTTTTGTTAGCATGAATTGATTATTAAGTAAGCTAAAGCTGAAGAAGTGTAGCTACGTTAAAAGCCTATTAATATGAACTAATAGGTAAATACATGTTTATACAGTTCAATATTTTACCTTTTCTGTTGCTTCTGATGAAGTAGATATAATGTTTAATTATTTTAATATATAACCAATATATAGTGCGCCCATTTCAGTGGACACTATTTTGGACAGGGAAAACTATGCTTTGGAAGAGTTTCTTGATGAGGATGAAGCAATACAAGAGTACAGAGATGCAAAGCTCATGTTTTTATGTCCTATTTGAGATCCAATGATGTAAGTTTTGCTCGATCAATGATGAAAATTCAGGTTTTGAAACCGATATCTCTCAAGACTGAGAAGCATATCTACCTGTAGGCTGTCTAAAAATCACAAAAGATAGTTGATCCCTATCAAGCTTCAACAACGAAAGTTACAATCAGATGACTTTCATGTCAACAAACGAAAGCTACAAATGGAGGACTTTTCACATAGATCGAGAAGAGTTATAATTCAACGACACTTCCGGCAACTAATGAAAACTCTATTCAGTAGCCTTCACAACCAACTGTGAGAGTTACAATCTGACGACTTTCACACCCCATAACAGTTAAAGCAAAGATCAATGAGCATTAGTCTTCACAAAGCTGTAATAGAAGAGGTTACAAGTCAACAACCTCTTCCAAACACAGAGTCCACCTCTGCGCTCCCCGAATTCAAAACACACGCGGCCTGTGCGTTTTCAGCAGACATTCAACTCTGCGTCTTAAATTCAAGACGCAGAGTTAAGGCCCAGAACGTCAATTTAGGCGTTTGAATTGTTCAAACTCAAGTTGAACGGCCTCAAAACCGTTTATCCCATATTTTGAGGGATTTTCGCCCACTTAGGAGCGGATCTAGGGGTTAGTTACACCCCTTATCCCTCTATAAATAACCGCATTACTCAACTGAGTAAGTGGTTGAAGATTCAAAGATCAAGAAGACCGCATAAGGTTGGATTCTTGGGCGGAGAGGGTGAGTTTTCTGAAGATCAAGGAACTGCTCGGCACTTAGTAAATCAAATCTTGGAGAATTCTTCACCAATAGCAAATCCACTTGGCATCTTAACCGATTATTCGGTTTTTCAATAACTCTTTTAGAGTTTTCAACTCGTTCTAAGTTCTTAAACTCGTTAAGAGTTCTAAATTAAACTTGACATACAAGTTAATTATTCCCGTGAGGCAAGACGGTCGGATCGTCAACGGAGAGCGAATTCGACGCGAGCATTCGAATGAGGCACTCCATACCTACCAAGATGAACCCGGTTTTAAACAAAGGGGAGAATCAAATTTATTTTTCTCTCTTTTATAATCAGGAAATCCAATTGTAACTGAGATTAAAGGAATACAAATTAATTTTCCTTCATTTCTTTTACTGCAAATTTTTCCACAAACACTACCTCTTCTTGTTAGATCAGTAACTTAAGGCATTTATTTTAATCATGCTTTAGTCTTCAATGCATGTTTTAATTCTTGAGTATGCTCATATCTAACTATTTTCCTTATAAAAATTTATACTTTTTGATAATACCAAAATATTGAGATTTCTTTTTGGATTCTTGATGAAATGAATTCAAACTAGTTATAAGTGATTCCTGCTATGAATCTAAGAGATGAGTAATTCTTGGAATGAGGTTTGATTGGAGCATGTAATAGTAGAATTCTATAAATTGTAAAAAAATTACAGTCTATCAGGTCGAGCGTACGCGCTCACTCTGATGAACACACGCTCCCCATCGTGCAGAAATTTAGTTCAAGAAGATGGTGTTAGACCCTAGAGAGAGGGGGGGGGGGTGATTAGGGTCTTATGCTAATCTAATCCGATTATATGCCAATTAAAACTAATTAACAAATATATTCTTGCAAGATAGGTATACAATCTATTATGGGCAAGAATATGCAATATACACAAAGTGATATATCCTATATGATGAAATATATATGCAAGGATATATAAACTAAGGGTGATATAAACATAAACAAGATAAACAAGATAGTGGACAATGTGAACAATAGATAATGGCGACAAGAATGATATGAACAATAAGCACAAGTGAGACGCCAAGACAATCACAAACACACAAAGATGATCACGGAGTTCGGACCTTCCGTCCTACGTCTCCGCTCCCCACTCCCGGGGAGAAATCCACTATCAACCGGGTTTTCTACGTTCACCCGAACAACGTTTACACCTCACACTCGGTTTTCTAGCTAACCGAAAACTTTACAATCAACACACTATTGTAATCCCACTCTACACCCACTAAGTGTTGGACCTAGCCGTGTCTCCCTCAAGTGCTCGGTTACAACCTCTCCCTAGGCACGTCAACCGACGCCACTCCTCTTGGGACGATCCCCGACTCTCACCACACACTCCTCACTCGGTGTACAAGTGTATTACAAAGTGAATCTCACAATAAGCACAATATAACAAATGATTGTTCTCAACTATGGATGAGAACACAATTAAGCACAACTCAAAGTTACAAACTCTCACCACCCAACTATACTATGTATGTAAATACTAAAAGCTCAATGTGGGTGTGTGTAACAATGAGTAAAATGAAATCTAACTCAAATAGCAAACTAGCAATAATTAATATATGATAAATCAATAATGAAATTGCTAGGGAAAAGAGTTAGAAAACTTCTCTATAAACACAAAGAGAGGATGAGAAGATTTTGAGGATGAAATCCTCAACTGGTGATGCAAACTCCTCTTTGTAACAGCAAACCCCAAAAACAAACTAAACAAACTCAAACCCTTGTTTAAAACTTTCTTAAACTTGTTTTTAAAACTCTCTTAATCAGTTTGAAAAGACATCAGCAATGGGGTATATATACCCACTAGAAATCTCAGCATTCGGTCGACCGGTGCGGTCGACCGAAAACAGATATGACAGGTTCTGAAAAATTGTTTATCTGATTTTAAAACGCTGTTTAAAAATATCAAATAAATTCCAAAAAATGTAAAACTTTGGGGAATGATTGTAGACATGATAATAAACATGCTACAACGACTGGTTTCGAAAAAGGACTTCCCAAATGAAAAATATCATCATTTTACAAAATAGTCCAAAACATGAAAACCTGAAAATTGATATTTTGATATTTTGACTTAAACAACATTTTGAAACCTTATGAAATGATTGTATAGACTTGATAAAAGATATAATATGTTGTTATGAAGTCTATA